CATCAAAGATCTTTCTTCATTTTTTTCGGAGGAAGACTGCAGCGTTAAGCCCTGTCCACCTCAACTCAGCAATTATCTCACAGGTACTACTACATTTTATTTCATAATCATGAAGGTAGAAAAACATAGCAAACTCCAGATGAAATTGCAATAAGAGTAAAACTCATGAGAGAGAGAGAGAGAGAGAGAGAGAGAGAGAGAGAGAGAGAGAGGGGGAAGAGAGAGAGAGAGAGAGAGAGAGAGAGAGAGAGAGAGAGAGAGTGGAATCATACCTTGGAGCTGAGAATTAACAGTATCTGTTCTCTAGTGATATACTCTTTGTCCTGTCAACAAAATAAAAAGTTCTTTGGCACATATGTACCAAATTCACTCAAGGAAAAAAAACATTGCACTACTATTTAAACAGTTTCTTGTTGCATTTAAAGAATTTTTATGTGTGACTCCATGCAAACCTCAAGCAGAGCATAAAGAACCAGCAATATCTGTTCGCTAGTAATAATTTTTTTGCTCTGCCGACAAAATTAAAAAAAAAATCATTTCGCTCATACCACACTCTCTCAGGAAAAAAACATTGGTTCTACTATTTAAACAGTGCCCTGTTGCATTCAAATACTTTATGATTGACTCCATGAAACTCTCTCGTCCATAAACTCCCTCTTTGCCAGCAGATACTTGCAGTTTTCTCCATGAAAACAACTTCCATGATTATAATACCCACATAATTGTCTTCATTGTGCCCCATTTCACTATTTGTTTTCTATAATTGAGTTCATGATGCCGACTTGTTTGATGTGGTTGAATATCAACTATGATTACTATGAAACTGGTATTGACGTGGTTCACATAAAAGGTCTAAGTATGCCACATTCAAGAACAAAATATTCCTAATTAATAAATTTAGACATCACCATATTCTAAATCCTATTGTTCATAATTTTGAAAATAGAGGTCTTATATTAGCTTTCCCAAGAACAATAATTTATTTAAGCCGTTTTCTTAAAAACAGAGAAGGTTATTCATATTTCTAAGATATGATGAGATCAATAATTCAAGGAAAGACAATTGCTTGTATCTCAGCTAAGCAAATAACATAAACTCATCATCCCCTGCAATCTTCCCAAAAACATAAAATAATTAAAATGTGATGCAGCACTCAATCATGTTAATTGAATCGTATATAGGGGTGGAAATGAACCGAATCGAATTGAATACCATGGTATTCATATTCGTATTCAGTTAATTTTCATAAATTCGAAGTCAAACTCGTATTCATGTTGAATAGGGAAAAGGTGTTCATATTTGGTTCATTAATTAGACGAATATTTGTTAAATTTTCACGAATATCTCAATAGCACACTTCGTCACAAGATCCTCAACCATGAGGTTTTGACTTCAAACCCTATTTTTGAAGTCTATTCCTTTTATTTTCTATAACGTTTTACGTAACCTCAGCTAAGCTAATAACATAAACTCATCATCCCCTGCAATCTTCCCAAAAAACATAAAATAATTAAAATGTGATGCAGCACTCAATCATGTTAACTGAATCAAATAGACTTGAATTTCAAAACTCCAAGATTAAATTTCTTAAAGCATATTATTCACAATATCTGCAAATTCCTAAGAAAAATAATTGAACATTATTCTACCTTCAAGAACTAGCTATGTTCACAGAGTTATTGATGGCATCAGAAAAGCACACAACACAGCTCTCCTTTTAGCACTATTTATTACCCGGATTCCAAGATTTTTTGATTAAATCATTACATTAAGGATCTCAATTGATCACGGGGAGTTCGAACATGGCTCCTCTTAATATCCTTCAGGGTAGGGCAGCCAGTGAGAGTCATGGTGAGCTCTAGTTCACTCTTAAGCATTTCAATTACTTTTCTTACTCCTTGCTCCCCCTTTGCAGCTAAGGCAAATACCACCGGTCTTCCAATCTACACAAAGATACATAGAAATATGCATGAAGACGACAAACCAATGCAGTATAGCCAACGAAAACTTAAAGAAAGGATCTTGTCATATTGAGATTTGAGATATCAAGGCAAGTGTAGAATGAGTATAGAGATAAGAATACCATGACAGCCTTAGCACCGAGTGCCAAGGCCTTGAAAATATCAGTTCCACGACGAAACCCTCCATCAACAAGTACAGGGATTGCACCAGATACAGCATCAACTACCTGAATGGTAGTTAATAATCAGAAGATCACGTAGAATAAAATCTACTGGCTCAAAAAGTTTATCTATTTCGCTTTTACTCTTTTACCTCTTCAAGAACAGATATTGGAGCTGGTGAATAATCAAGCTGTCGTCCACCATGGTTGGATACAATTATTCCAGATACTCCTGCTTCCACTGCTTTTCGAGCTGTTTTAAGTTATTATCACTATGTTAAATCTTGCATCAATTATGATATTGAACGAGATACACATACTCATAAAATTGAGAAAACAGTACCATCTTCTGCAGTAAGCACGCCTTTGAGAAGAATTGGTAAGTTGGTAATAGATTTCAGCCATCCAACATCCTGCAAATGTAGAGATTTAGATGCTAATCTCAATGCCCATGTAAAGGGATGAAGTTGTAGTAGAATGTTAAACTCTTTTTAATTTTGGATTTCTGGTAATGCCTTCACGGAAAGTTGCTGAAAATTTCTTGAGATAGCAATGTCATTCCTTTCCAACTTCTAAATTCTGATTGAAGATGGTTTGCTAGGAAAGGTTATAATATTTTCCCAAGTTTTGGTGCCAAAGAAATCGCCTCAGTACGAAAAATTTTCCTCTCAGCCTTCTGAAAATAGTTATTTCGAGGTCGATGGTTATTTGGTTCCTAGACTTTTAATCAAAATTCTCACTTTAAGAATATTACTTGTGTTGGCAAGAAATTCAGTCTTTCTGTCTACAAATTTGAATTATATGTAATTGGACATGAAGAAAGTATCCGATGATTCATTGTATTCGAGCAAAAACAAAGAGATCTCCAAACCAGAAAAGCTACATGTAACTCTGAACCATGAAAACATAGAAAACAATCCAATGACATGCAAACTGAGAGAAGGTTGCTTTATATTTAGATCTGCATTTAAGATATACAATTTATATTCATGAAATGGCAACACTTAAAATTTATATTAGAAAAAATAGCCAATCATAGTTTTCCTAATACAAGACATATTTAATAAAGTTGTTTCTGGTACCTTCCAGCTCAAAGAATCATCCAGAGTTTCAGATGCAAATGCTTCAAGACCAGAGCCGGATTTCTGCACACAAAAGAATGAAAAAAAGAATACAGTAAAAATAACATCTAACTATAAGCTTATGCACATACGCCAATATATCAAAAAATATAGTTTGAAGATTAAAACATAAGCATTCAGAAAAAACTGTGCTTCTCACATTATCAGCAGCAACTGATAGTAGACCTTCAAGATTTGACAATGTTGGTGCGACCAATCTGAGAAGGATCAATATAAGATTTTGAGGTCAGTTAATATGAAAGATTCTGAATTGTTGAAAGATTACGCCATAGTTATGTATTCTAGCCTTCTAGGACTTTATATTGGTATGTTAAGATACTATTGTACAGAGGAAACTAATTTCTGTCCTAAACCCTATTTTAACAGCTGAATGCTTTGTAGGCAGTATTTGGATAAGTAGTTGGAACTATTAGTAGTGTCATCTACATGGGTAATCTACCATAAATTTCATTTTAGCATGTGCAATGCTGGCTAATAACTTTAAAGTAAAGAAGACAAAAGCATTAATACAAAGCAATCTACTATCTCAACTGAACACTCTGCATGAAGAAAGCATTCTTCATGCCACAGTTATGAAATGCAATAGCCAGCAACCTAACTCATCAATCAAGTAGGCACCATTAATTAAACCAACTGTAATTCATGGTTTAAGCAACAAACAAGTGTCAATGTCTTTAATTCATTAGTATGAATACAGACTGAAATCATTGAGAAGAAAGCATTATAATGTTTTCAGGAGTACAAGGAGAGGATTTACTTGTTTTTAACATCTGCTTCCCTTCTACCTAGCCTGGGAGTATCAACTGTCAAAACAATAGCCTTGAATCCGTTTCCCTCAGCTCTCTTTACTATCTTTTCAGCAATGTCTCGTCTTTTATAAACCTACGCAATTTCCCCCCCAAAAAAGTGTTCAAAGACTAGAATGATAAATGTGCAAAATATATGAGACTGTGAAATGAACATACATATAACTGTAAGAAGCGAATTGCATTGCAGCTTGAAGCCACTTCCTCAATAGTGCAATTAGAAGCAAAGGACAGCACCTGCAAACATATGAACCTTTTAGAACATCAATAAAATAATCAAATTATCTTCCATGCTAGAAAAAAGAGTACCATTATTGTGTTACAGGTTGCTGCAGCTCTTGCTGTTGCCACTTCCCCTGTTTAAGACAAGAAGCTCTCGGTTAGAAATTTATAATGTTTTAAATCCTAATTTATAACTCTGATGGTGATCATTACCTTCTGGGTGCGCAAATTTGTGCATTCCGGTAGGGGCGATGATTATTGGTGAAGACAGATTGTAACCCAGTAAGTTGGTTGACATGTCAATGTTTCTTACGTCCACCAGGACTCTTGGTAGTAACCTAAGGATCCATGCTAAAGCATGATTAATTGTTTCATATAGCAACAAAAAATCCATAGTAAAAAGAGAAGAAGGCTTTACAAAATTCTTTGAAACGCTTTAATGTTCTCTGTCAAGGTAAACTCATCACAAGCTCCCCCTCTAAAGAAATCATAGTACATTTTTGGAAGAACCTGTCTAGCGAGCTCTTGAAATTCACTTACATTAATTGGATCACTCTCCATGTTTTTTCCCTGCACAAACCATCAATTTAAAAGAGTTTTATCCAGAAAGTAACAAATAAGTTAGTTTGTTCATGCATACTCTATTTTGCCTTGGAGATGAGTAAGGTATAAATAACCACTTAATGATTCTCCAGAAGTATACAAGATATAGAACAACTGAGTGGAAATAAGGATTTTTTTTATCCATCATCGACTATCTCCAGCTTGATGGGAGAATGAGTATGTAGGTCCTTCGACAGACGAGTCCAAGGACAAGTTCATCATCACCAAGACCTCAACAACTAGAAGGAAGAGCTTAAAAGATAAAAGCATAGCCAATCATAAAAGACAAAGAGTTTAAATCACAGCTTAAATCACACTTATAGTCATGTACAGTACATCACGGTCTGAAACTTGACCCCATTAAAAGAGCAGTTCCACTAGTATCATTCAGCTCTAATATCCCAAAATCATCAATTATTGCTGTATTACTTCAATAAACAAATCCATAAAGTGGGCATCAGCAGATTCTAATTAAAGATCTTTCTACATATTATTTTTAGGGCTACATCACCCCAGCAATAATCTCATAGGTACCATCCCATCTTATTCCATAATCATAAAGATGGAAACACATAGCAAACTCTAGATGAACTGCAATACGTATTGAGCTTAAACTGATTAAGAAAAGAGGGGGGGGGGGAGGAAACATACCTTGGGGATGAGAAGGAAAATTTCAAGGAGATCACTGGTTGAAAGAAGAGAGAACAAAATAATAATTGGCCTTCTCTCTCTCTCTCTCTTTAGAAATATTGGTCAATCTATATCTCTATCTATACTCCTTTTATAAGGGGAAAACATACAGACACACCTCCAATCACACCTCGGGGCATACCCCCTCTCCCAGCTACAGTACACGGGGCCCACTTTAGATTTTTTTTTTAAATCTAAAATGGGCCCCGTGCATTGTAATATCTAAATCTATACTACTTATAAAAGAGAATACCCATGTCAAAACTTTTGATTTCCTTTTTTACCCTCTCAATTTTTTATAACTCAAAATTATACCATTAATTATAAAACTAATAATCCATAACCTCTCATTAACTATGCACCTTTTCATTTTCTCAAATTATTTGGTCATTCACTAGAATATATTAATAATTTATAATGATAACAAAATTCATGAATATATGATAATTTATTAAAAAGAATTATTAATTATATAAAATAATAAAAGTCATTCATTTAATAAATTATTGCACATAATTATAATTATTAGTATAAATAGGGGTTATTTCTTTATGTTGTAAAGAACATTACCTTGTTCGATAATTAATATCATCTTAGTAATAAAAATTTGGATGTTATAAGTTACAAATACTTTTATTTTATAAAATTAATTTATATAAAAAAATTTGGATCCTTAAAATTTATGAGACATATACTTTTCTCTTCTTTTCTTCAAAATATTTGGCCACTCGCTAGAATATACTAATAATTTATAATGATAAAAAATTAATAAATATATTATAATTTATTATAAAATAATTATTAATTGTAATAAAATAGTAAAATTATTTATTTAATAAAATATTGTACATAATTCTAATTATTAATAATAGTGCAATGAAATATTGGATCTTTGAAATTTATGAGTCATGCACTTTTTATGGGAAAGTAAATGTCTCATATATTTGAAAGATCTAATATTTTTATATAAATTATTTTTTCTAAATAATAGTATTTTTAATTTATACCATCTAATTTTTTATTACTAAGACGATATTAATTATCGAACAAGGTAATATTCTAGGAAAAATTGCTTCTAGGCCCCAAAATTCAACTTCCAATGTGCCCCAGCTCCCCCAACTTTCAACAATGTGTTGCAACCCCTTTTTTTTTAAAAAAATTATGTCCAGGTCCCTCTCCTCAAGTTCCAATGTAACCTCTTCAAAAATCCCGATTTTACCCCTCCCTTACACCCTCTCCTCCTCCTCCGTTCCTCCTCTGCCCCCGCCCCCCCCCCCCCCCCCCCCCCCCCCCCCCCCCCCCCTTTTCTTCCTCCTTCTCATCTCCCTCCCCTCCCCCGCCTCCCTCCCCCGCTGCACCTCCCCCTACACCTCCCTCCTCCTCCTCCGGTCCCCCTCTGCCCCCTTCCTCGCTCCGCTGCCGGCGCCGTCCCGAGGAACTTCGCGTGGCCGACAGCGATCATGGTTATTATATTAACATGTTAACTCTTAGGGTTAACATGTTAACTCTTAGGGTTAACATGTTAACTCTTAACAGTTAACATGTTATCTGTAAGAGTTAACATGTTAACAGTAAGAGTTAACATGTTAACCCTAAGAGTTAACATGTTAGCCCTAAGAGTTAACATCCGCTGGCATGAGAAAGAGGAGGGTAAAATTAGGATTTAAGCCAGCTGGCATGTCTAATCATGAGCTGGTATGTCTAATCATCTGTTGGCATGAGCTAGAATCATGATGAAGGGGCCCGGACACAATTTTTTCAAAAACAATGGGCTGCAGCACATTTAAAAAAATATGGGGGGCTAGAGCACATTGAAAGTTGGATTTTGGGGCCTAGAAGCAATTTTCCCAATATTCTTTACAGCATAAAGTCATATAACATTAAAAATTATTATCATTATTTGATAGATATTATATTAAAATATGTACATGACATAAATATTTAATAATTTAAATGGTTTAATTATATCAATAGTGTTACTTAAACTAATGATTACATTATTATTTAATAATTATACTTCTAAATAAATTGTTTAATAATATAATAATAGAAAATTTTAAATAACTATTAAATGTATGTTAATAATAGTATAAGTTAAAAAAAAGGGAAAAATGTGTCCAGGCCCCAAAAGTGGGAACTTCGTGTGACTAGCCCCCCTTACTTTGCCCCATGTGGAATAGCCCCAAATACGCATAGTATTTGCGACGAGGCCCCGAATTGACTTTTTTTCAGAAAAAGCCAGAGGAAGTTACGATCTTGCCCTCTGATGAGACTGAGCTGGGTTAATGTGCCCCTCACCTTTACAAGTACTCTCCCTCTCTTTCTCTCTCTTCCACCTAGCACCGCCATCAAAAACTCTTCGAGCTGGGTTAATGTGCCCCTCACCTTTACAAGTACTCTCCCTCTCTTTCTCTCTCTTCCACCTAGCACCGTCATCAAGAACTCTTCATCTTCCTAATTTCTGTACGAATTTCAACGTTTCTAGGGTTTTCGCCGGAAAAATGTCGTCGTCTACGGAAAAATCCAGTAACGACTACGAGGTCGGGCACCGAGCCGAGTTGGAAGGAAAAGGCGCTTCATCTGCGGGTGGCAGCACGGAGGAAGCTACGGAAGCTACGAAAACCCTAATCGAAATGCAAAAGGAGGCATTACAATGGCGAGACCAGAAAAGGAGGACGACAATGGCTGGTCGTACCAACGAACCCCCCTCAAAAAAATAGTAAGTGTTATGTTATACTGTGAACAGAAAATGCAGATTAACCCAATATTGTTAGTTCTAGGCTTATGTTATACTGCGAAGAGACAATGCAGATTAACCCAATATTGTTAGTTCTAGGCTTTGTCCAATGTTAGTTCTAAATTTATACCAACGTTAGATCTAGTTTAAGTCCAATGTTAGTTCTAATATGAGTCCAATGTTAGTTCTATAATATTACGTGTTAGCTCTATTTTGTTCCCGTTAGTGCTAGGTCTAATATTGTTTCATATGTCTTATTGAACGTACAAATTCGAAAATTTTTTGCAGGAAAAAAATTGCTCTAACAGGCTCAGCAGAAACACTAAGGTTAACGGCCAATATCGGGGCTTATTGGGCATTTATGAAGTGCCTTGCCCCGAAGATCCGTCAGTGGCATAAGGATGCATACTGCGGTTCTATATTTCAGCACTACATTTTGTTTGGGGCACCTGCGCCTGATCGGCCCACCCTTGAGCTGCTGCTGAGCTTTTTCGATAGAGATAATAACACCTTTTGTATACCTGATTCAAAAAGTGGGGGTATGAAAAATGTTAGTTTTGATTTGCAATGGGTCCATAACCATACTTATTTCCCAATTTATGGGGAGGACATAAGGAACAATAGGGACTCAAGAAGCAGAATATGGCTGGAATACTTCGCTAAGCTTTTCATTTCTGAAGAGGGTAAGAAGTTAAAAAAATCAGAAACCAGCCAACGTAAACATCTTGAAGGTCTACTTGAACGGCTTGTTGAATCTACCAAAAAGCGGGATATCGAGGATTTTGCTCTGCTACAAATTTTGTACCAATGCTCTATGATATGGAGTCCCATAGCAGGGGAAGGTATCCCTAGACCCTTACTCAGGTACCTGGATAGCATTCAGAGGGTCAATTCTGTTGCATGGGCCCCGTTCTTTTATAATGAAATTATCAGGGGCATTGGAGTTGCTTTGGAGGGAAAGAAGAAGCAAAAGGTCGCATATGTCCCAGGTTGCATGACACTATTGTGTGTAAGTTCCATATTTTACTGATCTTGTTTCATTCTAATTCGTACCTATGCATTGTTAGTTCTAACTTATTCTATGTTAGTTCTATTCTGTAGCGTGTTAGTTCTAATCTGCACAGTGTTAGTTCCGTTCTGTAGAGTGTTAGTTCTAATTTGCAGATTAGAACTCACACGCTACAGACAGATTAGAACTAACACGCTGCAGAATAGAACTAACACTCTACAGAATAGAACTAACACTGTGTTAGTTCTATTCTGTAGAGTGTTAGTTCTAATCTGCACAGTGTTAGTTCTATTCTGTAGAGTGTTAGTTCTAATCTGCACAGTGTTAGTTCTATTCTGTAGAGTGTTAGTTCTAATCTGCACAGTGTTAGTTCTATTCTGTAGAGTGTTAGTTCTAATCTGCACAGTGTTAGTTCTATTCTGTAGAGTGTTAGTTCTAATCTGCACAGTGTTAGTTCTATTCTGTAGAGTGTTAGTTCTAATCTGCACAGTGTTAGTTCTATTCTGTAGAGTGTTAGTTCTAATCTGCACAGTGTTAGTTCTATTCTGCACAGTGTTAGTTCAAGTCTGTAGCGTGTGATGGCTTGTTAGTTCTATTTTATTACACGTTATATCTAATTTATACCACGTTATATCTAATTTATGTTAGTTCTAATTTAAACCACGTTATAAACCTAATTTATACCATGTTATATCTCATTTATACCAAGTTAGTTCTATTTTATAACAAGTTAGTTCTAAAATTTTAACCAAGTTTGTTCTAATTTATACCAAGTTAGTTCTATTTTATACCATGTTAGTTCTAATTTATACCAAGTTAGTTCTAATTTATATCAAGTTAGTTCTATTTTATAACAAGTTAGTTCTAATTTAAACCACATTAGTTGGAAGAGGAGCATATGGAACATATTGTAGATATGGAAGAGGAGCATATGGAACATATTGTAGATATGGAAGAGGAGCATATGGAACATATTGTAGATATGGAAGAGGAGCATATGGAACATATTGTAGATATGGAAGAGGAGCATATGGAACATATTGTAGATATGGAAGAGGAGCATATGGAACATATTGTAGATATGGAAGAGGAGCATATGGAACATATTGTAGATATGGAAGAGGAGCATATGGAACATATTGTAGATATGGAAGAGGAGCATATGGAACATATTGTAGATATGGAAGAGGAGCATATGGAACATATTGTAGATATGGAAGAGGAGCATATGGAACATATTGTAGATATGGAAGAGGAGCATATGGAACATATTGTAGATATGGAAGAGGAGCATATGGTAGATAAGGAAGAGGAGCATATGGAAAATGAAAATTTTATTGTAGATAACAAAGGTTTTGATGAGGATACTGTTGATGGTGTAGATAAGGAGGAAGATATTGTAGATAAAGGCAAGGAGAATGTAGATAAGTTGGAAGCACAGGAGGAAGAGGATCTTGTGAATATTGAACATAATGTGGACAAACTTGTAGATGTTCTAACGAGCAATGTGAAAGCAAAGCGTAGACCAAAGGCAAAAAGGGTAAGCAAGAGATCTAAATTCAAGAGGACACCATATACTGAAGGCAAAAGAAAGAAAAAGGAAAAAATTAGTATAGATATACTTGAAAGTCCTGAACCAAAAGTAAAACTAGCTGAAAAAGTTACTCATTTTTATCCCGGTATTCAAATCCCCACTTTTGATGCGTTGAGTTTCAAGCCAATGACAGATGAAGAGGAAGCTCTATTGGGAGAGCTGAATAATGAGCTTCCAGACCCTACATTGTTTAACTTACGCATAATAGATAGCACAGGTGCTTTTGTACATAATTTAAAGATACCATCTCCCGTAGCAGAAAGACTCGACAAAGCTGAAATTGATAGCCTAACCAAATTTTGTTCTCAGAAGATTCACAAGTAAGTTTCAGTTGACTATTTATATGCTAATTCTCCACATATTAGTTCTAATTCATGTTAGTTCTAATTTATACCAGGAGATATAATGTTATAGTAACAACCAACAGCACTATTAACAGGGAAGAGTTGTTATATGTGCTTCGTGGTGGCCGCCTTGACGACAAGGTTAACATATACTTCCTTAATAATTCAAATTATATTGTTTAAATTGAATTTTAATGTTTCATAACAATTACAGGTGGAAGAAGCAGTTTTGGACACGATTAGCCAGGAGGCATACGGCAAAGGATATGGAGTGGTATCGGTGTTCTTTCTTGTAAGAACATGCTATTCCTAATTTCACCACGTTAGTTTTGATTGAAATTCATGTTAGATCTTGTGTAATCCATGCTAGTTATACCATGAGTCACGTTAGTTCTAGTTAGCATCAAATTAGACCTACCATAAGTCATGTTAGTTCCGTTCTTTAGAGTGTTAGTTCTATTCTGTAGAGTGTTAGTTCTAATCTGCACAGTGTTAGTTCTATTCTGCACAGTGTTAGTTCTAATCTGCACAGTGTTAGTTCTAGTCTGCACAATGTTAGTTCTATTCTGTAGAACGTTAGTTCTATTCTGTAGCGTGTTAGTTCTATTCTGCACAGTGTTAGTTCTAATCTGCACAGTGTTAGTTCTAGTCTGCACAGTGTTAGTTCTATTCTGTAGAACGTTAGTTCTATTCTGTAGTGTGTTAGTTCTATTCTGCACAGTGTTAGTTCTATTCTATAGCGTGTTAGTTCTAATTAATACGATGTTAGTTAGCCTTCGCAGCTCATGTTTGTTTTAATTTCAACTCAAACATGATGTGTTTGCAGCACTCACTCTATGGCTTGGAGGTGAACAATTACGAGCATTATCTGAACTTCATTGACAAATATACCGCATACCGCATAGAGCATCTCTTGATCCCTTTGGTCAGGGACGACCATTGGCATCTTGTAGAAGTTGACCTTAAAGATAAAGTCGTCAAGCATTACAGCTCCGCTGGGCACGAAGCTTGGGTGGAGCCTGTTAATAAAATCATAAACTTCTTTTGATGCCCATCATGCTGATTTTATTGAAGATAATGTGCGCCAAATATTTAGATATCAAGCCATCAAATGCGAGCAACAAAGAGGACGGTTAGTTCCGATGTCTATATTGTTCAAATTTGTGTTATAGTATTCGAACGGACCGAAAATGTCTAATGAACTCACTCTATGTTGCAGCTTTGACTGTGGTGTGTTTGTCTACCTCTTTGTAAAATCCATAATTAAAGGACGATCAACATTGCTGGTTAATCCTCCGAACGATATCCCTGAAGCTATGCGAGCAAGACTTGCCGCACAATTATTACTGGCTGGTTTTGAACAAAGACATAAAGAAGAAACAGTGTACAGTGATGAATGATATGTTCATACAAATACAATAATGTATGTATATTTAAGTAATTGAAAATGATTGTTATCAGATGTATTGTTCTATCTGTACCATGTTCGTTCTAGTGATGCTCGTTAGTTCTAACTCATTCAACGTTAGTTCTATTCTGTACCATGCTCGTTAGTTCTATCTCAGAACCAGTTCTAATTTTTTAATTATTTAAGTTATCTTCAGACCTCCAGCTGCTCACTTCTTTCGAAGCGACGGTTCCATCACACAAACATGTCACATCATATATTTGCGTGTTCCCAAGTTAGTTAAATAAATTAATTAACTTAAATACCTAATACGAACTTCCATCGATAGGTACGGTCACCACCTTTCTTCTACTGTCCCCAGCGTAGGCGCCTCTGCAAACCCCTCCCCCTGCTAAAAACCACAACCCAGCGTCATCTATTTTCATCGTATACCCTCACAAATGGCTGGGGATCCTTCTTGTGTACACTGCCATGGGACAGGACACAGCACTCGAGATTGTCATCATGGAATTACCGCAAGTGCCCCTCCGAGGATGCTTACCGTCCCGGCCAACACCTCCAGCACCATACGGCATCTTTCTGCTTTCGCCATCTTCAATCTTGATAGAGGCCGTCC